CCTGTAAACTGCTTATAACTGCATTTTGGGGAAAAGGAGGGAGTGAAGGCTACTTACACTGCTATGAAACTCCAGTTAAATTAAAGAGCTGCAGAAGCCAAGAGCTTACAACTCTCAGATCAGAAGAGGGGCTGTCCACCTTCTTGGTGTCTAGCCAACCTTTGCTTCCTCTTGCTTATAACGGGTACAGGACATCATGTAGATCATGCCTAGTTGAGAGTTCAAGATCATGGTTTCCAAGGAGAACAGTGGTAATCCTGAATCACTCAAAAGTAAATTGAACTCAGCAACACATATAAGAAAGTTATGGAAAAATGGTGTATTATTACATAAATTGAATGGCTCTTTTCTATTCCTATACTTTGTACATATATAATTGGGTTTTAATTCATATTTTTCTTTTGGCTAGGTGATGCATTACAAAGTTCAGTTTTAATTACTGAATTAATTACAAACTTAATTACAATTACTTAATTACAAACCAAAACAAAACAAAAACCCTCACAATGCAACCTCCCTTTCCCCAAAACATGAACTAGCACTGAAATAATTTAATCACACACAAGCACACACAGATTTCAGGACAGTGAGGAAAAATGTTTCATGCTTTTCAAGGCTAGCCCCCTCCCCCCCTAAAAATGTTTGTGTTTTCCAGCCTTTACCCTCCACTGTGGTCTCCTGGAGAGAAACGTTCTTCAGAGGCACACTGATAGTGGTCCAAAGGGACATTAGGGATTTCACCTGGGACAGGCTCTGTTAGCCGGGCAGCAGCTGCAGGACAGACAGGGATCCCCAATCCCGTGGGCACCTGGCTGGGCAAGGGCACCTCAGAGCATGGTGCCGGGAACCTCAGCCCCTGTGGCATATCTCAGGAGAAGCTGCTGATCCCACTGAGCACCTGATCCTTTCCACCAAGCACTGCCTGCTGTCTAAGATGAAAGGTAACAGCTCATGTTGTGACAGTGCTCTTATACAGCAGGTTGTTCAGTGTTCCAGTGCCCTGAAAGGTTTGCAGTTTTGACAAAATGGCTAAGTGGTGACACAAGGCAACATGAGCTGAAGAAAAAAAAAAAACCCGCCAAAACCCAAACCAATCCAAAACCATCAAAAAACCCAATCACAAAACCCCTCACAAACAAATAAACAAAACCAAATAATTTCTGTAGTTTGGCTGAATAGGAAGAAAATACCATACAGTGCATACTGGCAAACTTAAATAAGAGAAAACAAGAATCCAGGGTAAGGATGACAAACTGTAAATGAAGGGGATTAAATCTAGATTGACAGAAATTATAAAAAGTAAATAATAAATCCCCAAAGCTCTAGAGAGTATTGTTAGTTGGATGCTGGTCAGTCACCAGCACTCTGACATGGCCACAGAGCTTTTCAAGTGTTGTTACACTCATAAAACTTTAAGGGATGTTCTATAGAGGCAATTCTGCTCTGGCAGAGACCTGAGGTCTGTCACTGACACCCCCTCTAAAAGTTTTGCTTTCAGCTCCCTATCTGCAGCATCAGATCAATATCTCAGCAGTACCTCCTCCTGCTCCTGTGGTCACTGCTGCTCCTACACCAGCATACATAACACCAGGGTGCACACATTTGACAACTGGGTCTCCCTGTCTTCATTCCTATAGGCCATGAGTATGCACAGCTTGCTCACAAATGGTGCTCTTCAAATCACTGGTTTTCAGTGGGGCTATGCCAATCGGTATCTACCCTTTTGAAGTGACAGTGGTTTTAGTTTGATGCGGGGAGGAGATTGCTCTTCAGAAGGTACTTTGTTTTTGAAAAATGAATGTTTAACAAAAAAAAAAAAAACAAAACCAAAAACCAACCAACCAACGAACAAAAAAAAAAAACAAAAACAAAAAAACAACCACCAAAACCAAAAAACAAACCAAAGCCAAAATCTCAATATAATGAAAAATCTATCAAAAAAGAGTAGATCACTTATGAATTGCTTAAGTGAAAGGGAACGGATAGGAGCCAACACCACTTCCATCTGAAGGATGCAGAAGCACCTATCAGCTGGCTATAGGCAAAAGTTAGCATGTCCCTCCATTTCATCCAATGAATCTACACCTGACAACACAGCACCGTTTACAGTTTACTGTTTACCCACTCTGATTCCTCATTTTGCATTATTCAGGTTAGGCCTCACACCCTCACAGCAGTGCAGTTGTTCAGGCAGAGAAGGTTCACCACCTCCTGCAGAAAGCAGCAAAAGAAACCGAGGGAAGAAAATAGCAAGAAATTTGAAAGACGTCTAGGGCACTGTGGATATTCTGTTCCCTAACAATATTAGTGGCAACCCAGCCTAGACTTACACTGCTAGCCTTGAACATCTCAGCAGATCAGAAAGGTTAATTATTTATGACAGACTGTTTGAGCTTCATACTGAGAGAGAGTTGAAGTGATTATTTTCTGCAGTGGCTTCCTCAGAAAGTCTCTTCCTGATCCCCTGCTAGAATTTGGAGGGGATTGGAGGGGATATCAGCAATACTGCCTCAATTCAAAACATCACGTTGCCATCATTCCAGAAATCTTTACCTAACTTTAATCAATTTGGTGATACAATTCCATGCCAGCTATTTTCTTCACATTATTTGACAGGGCAACAGTTAGATTAAGCTATTTCAAAGAACAAAGCCAGTGGATGGAGAGGGAGGGAAGTGTTGTTAATGTCAGGGTCTGAAGATTTCCAAAGGTCAACCTCCCACAGGCCTCAAAGCAGCAAGCCTGACCTCTGGCCATGGAGATTGGAATCAAGGTTGTTCCTTCTCCCCCCAACTTCCACACTACAGCACGCCCAAGCTGTGGTGGCATTTATGAACTCTTTGTGAGAAGGAAAAATAAGTGTCATGTGTGTCCCACAGGGCTGGTAGAAATCTGCAACGGATTTGTCATCATAATCCAGTCTCAAGTGGCACTGAGTTCTGTACGAGAGCAGATCTTCTCTACAAAGGCAGTACATCAAATGGGTGTCTGACCACTGGCAGTAGAAAGAGTGTATCCCCATTACTCTCACTAATCTTCGTGCTGGGACCACTGATTATATAAAAAGCCATAGAGACAATCATTATTTTATATTCTAATTACCTGCATGACAAAGGCCATCACATTTCCCAAAATTCCCATTTGGCCTCAGCTCTACAAAGTTAAATCATTCTTAAATATTTTTCAGAGGTCAAGAATTCAAAGCAGCACTTTGTAAATCAGGTCAGTGAGTCTTAAAAGTGTACACATTTTTTGGCTAAAATTCGCCTAACTAGAATCCAAGGATGCCAAACAGGGTGTTTATACTGCAGGTAGACATAATTTTTCACTTCTCATTATTCATGACACAGTCCCAAAGCAAATTTACAGCAAGCTTTTAAAAATAGCATTAATAATCTTAGAAGCTGTATTAAGACCCTAATTAAGATAGTATATGAATGTTTCCTGCTTGCAAGTGAGATGACAGATTTAAGCTACACAGTCACAAGACTCCTTAAGGAATTTATTTCCTTAACACCAGTTTGGGAAAGATGGTTGTCATTCTTCCTTCCATACGAGGTGTCAAGTCATCAAGTCAGAAGAATTTCACTCTCTTGGTGTGACCTGTTAAGCCACAGTTAGGACCCGGTTTCTGATGCACAGCATATCTCCCGTGGATTCTGGTTGCAGATGCAAGCAGTCACCACCTCTAAAAGTGCTTTCCAAGATTACAAGTGAGGCACTGAGGAAAGGAGGTGTCTTCTCACAAGAGTGCAAAGGCTCTGCTGAGGTGTATTTTTTAGATTCACGCAGGACCTCCTCAGCAGAATCAAGAGCAGGGTCTCGTTTCCGATAAATGATGCGGCTGCTTCAGCACCAAGACCAACCCTTCATTCAATATTATTGCTCCCCATCCACAGCTCACCTGGCAACTTTGGTAGCAAGATGGGAGAGATTTATCAAACAATCATTTCCCCTCTTTCCCACAGCCCAGGTTCACCTGCAGAGTAAATCCCTCCTGCAAGCTGCAGCCGCAGGGATCATAGCCAGGCTTGGAACAGGCACTTCCAGAATCCTCTTGTTAGAAACATCAAGTGCTGGCGCTTCCGAGAGCCATTGTTGGGGCTGCAAGAATTCAGCCTACTGCCAATTAGGCCCGGAATTTTCTGGGAGCCATCAGCTCAAAGGAAGAGTTGACAAAAGGAAGTCTAAGCAAGAAATAAGAGATTACAATTCTGGCCCCAATGTTGTATCATCAGTCCTGAACACAACTTTTACTTAAACAAAAAAAAAATGTCTTTCTCATGCCTTGAGAAACCATACAAAATACACCACAGTTGAATAGGATATTACCAATAGCATCTCCCTCTGCTCACACTAAGGCAGAAAAAGACACCTCCAATTTTTCAGTACGAGTTAAACCTTGATTCAACTTTCAACTTAAATATTCCTCCCTTCTGAGGTTAATACACATCAGTGAAATGTTTTCTTTTGCTGGATAAACTGCCCTTTAACAAAGTATATCCTAGAAAGTTGTAAACGAGTCCTCATTTAACTGAACTGACAAATCATTGTTACTGAAAGCAATCATATACTCTCAGTGACCAAAGCTTTCCTGGCAGAGCTCTCTCTCTGGATTTATCATTAACATCTACATCCTAACGCTGCTAAATAATTCAGCACGGCATTTAGCCTTGTGTCCTTGCCTCTCTACCCAGAAATCGCTCTTACTATTTACTGTATGTTCCAGCAACAGGGAGGAAAAACCTGTCTGGATCACAGTTCCTCCTCGCGTTGCGTGACAGGGGGAATCTTCACTCTCGACATAGAAGTGTGGGTTTTATTTATTTTATTTTGTTGGAAAAAGTGTTTATTAGATACCTAAATATAGAGTGTTATTTATCCATACGGAGTGATGACCATGTGGGATCAGATTCACATGCAAATTCCCCTTTTAATAATCCTAATGCAGGGAGTGCTCCAATCAGAGCGCTGTCAGCCCAGCTCCGGATACCTGATGCCAGCTTTGCTGGTAATGTAGGCCACCGAAGCAAATCCAGAGAGATTGAGTTGGAAGTGGAGAGAGGCTCTGAGATCTATTTCCTTGGCTTCCTGACGACGGGGGTGTGTGTGCGCGTACGTGTAACTTCTTTTTTTCTTTTCCACTGTAAACGGGATATCATTTAAGAGGGATCATTAGCTGAGAGCAGCCCAGCTGGGTCAAGGCTGGGAGGCGGGGATGCAGTTGCAAGCAGCGAAGCAAGGTGGAGGCACGAAGACAGAAGACCAGGTTAATGAAAGCATGAGGTGGCTCTCGGGCAGCAGCTGGAGAAAATTTGGACACGCTGACAGGGGAAACTATGACTGGCTAAATAGTGAACCAGGTGGGCCGCTTCTGGAAACAGAGCTTCAGGTCTGTACCCCTCTGCTCCTCTCTGTGGCATGTCCTTTGACTTTGCATGTGTCTATGTATAATGCCTCAGTGTATAGCACAGAGTAAATACCTGGGTACTGAAACGTATCAAAGCAGTACTGCTCAATTACATAGGAGTCGGACCGTTTATTTACTGCTGTTTTAAATACATTTGTGGGGAAAGAAAAACATTAGATGGGGAAAAAAAATATCTTTCTGGAGCGGCAGGTAAAGAAGTTTAATTATTTCTTTTAAGCATAATACATTCTGCTATTCTTTGATTTCCTTTCTTTTAAATGCATGTTTATTCTTTGGATCTGGTCCCACGAAGCCTTTCTGCAGATGTTAAGAGTCACTAGCAGTCAGCAATGAACTCTTGTTCCCTAAGCTGCACGCTGATTACTTCTGTGAGGGAGGATCACATGCAGGCAAGTGGGGGGAGGGAAGTAGCCCTCAGAAGATGAAAACACAGACTGCCTTTCTGGCTTTGTCTGGGAAACAGCAAAAGGGTCTCTCTGATCAGAAATAATAATTTAAGGAGCACATATATCACCAGTAAACGTCTGAGTCAAGTAGCGTTTGCAAATGAACTGTCCATGCTACTTAGCTATCAAGTGTATTGTGGTAAAATAGAAGGGGGTAGGAGTGAGGGGGCAAAACAGGGGAAAAAGTAGTTTTCAAATGCTTCTGCAATTTTAACAAAGTCTACTTCATCAGTAACACTGCCAGAGTTAGAATAGCAATGACAATGTCTTCACACCTTGACACTAGTTTTGTCCAACAGTGAGAAACAAACAGCATCACTGGAGTCACATTCTAACAACTACTTGAAAATTCATTATAAAGCAAAGTGCACTTAAAAATTATGTGTCATAATTAATGTATACAAAAAGCACATCAAAATGTTTTTCTATTTGTCAGAGTTATATGGTTTTGCTCTTTACAAGCAACAATGAATCAGTTCTAAGAAGTAGGATGGAGCTTAGAAAAGCACCTATGCATGGACCACAGCCTAATGACTTCAAAGCAGACTTTGTTCCAAATCCACTTAAAACACTTCAGAAGTATCGGTTTCCTGATTCAGCTTCAAAAGATATTAGTATAAATATAGGCTATATTAATAAAAACAATTTTAATAAAGTTCTAAGTACCCTAGGAAATCATTAACAGCATAAGAAATCCTAGCACTAGTCAAACAATCACTTCAGTGGGAATTTAAGCCAGCCAAATAAACTTTCATTTTTCTATCCTTACACAAAAGCTTCTTTTAAACTCATGTTTGGCCTTATTAGGTTATTCCCTTCAAAGCCAGGTACTAGGCTTCTTTCATCCAGACAAAGAGTTCAATTCTAAACCCATTCCATTACTCGTTGTGGAAATGCGACACAAGTGGGCTGCACTTTATTGCTTTACCACAGGCACGAGTAAAAGCTCATCTAAACCAATATGGGTCACGTAATCTGTAAGCTGGCAACCATACATGCTCAGCATGTTAAAAAAACGTAGGCAGACAGAATACTAATGAAAGGCTTTACTACTAGTCTGTGCTCAGTGTTTTGGAAAACTGACCCTCTGTTTCAGTCCCTACAAAGATATAAATGAAAGGAAGAGAATAAACATGAGCCTACAATGGCCAAATCAACCTACTAAAAATCAGTTCTGGGAAAACAGAGAACTTTTTTTATCCCCATGCCCTTTTCTGCCTGTGTCTTCATAAAGGATATTTTCCCTATATTTATGTGTCTGTAACTTTTGTCATGCTGGAAGTCAGAGCCTTATTTTTGTTAGTTACTGATGTGACAGTAGCTGCTTGTGACAACACAGACAGAGCACATGCTGACCCCTTACACTTTGCTTACCCTTTCAGTTACTGAAGATTGTTTCATTTCTAGATTATTTTGTTTTCCAGTTCTAGCAGCTATTTCTGATACCTACACATACTGGTTGCTTTTCTAGTTTTAGAGCTTCGGTTTTAGAAGTTAGTTTTAGTTTAGCACTTTAGTTTTAGTTTGGAACTTCAGAGCAAATGTTTATTTTTTTCTAAGTGACCTTTGTTTTATTTTATTAAAATTATTTATATTTCTATCCTCTATAATTTTTTTAATGGCTATAAGTTTTTCCAAGTCTTTATGTCAAGATTTTTACAACATTCTTCAGTAGCCCCTTAGCCATTCATCCCAGAAGTGGACACAAAACCACAACAGAAAAACAGAGACTAATACTGCTCAATTATCTCCCAATACATTTGATACATATATGGGTATACCTAAAGGAAGTTAATCAGCCTTTGGAACTCCATCTCAATGCAAAATCAGTCCATGTAAAATGTTTGGCAGGAGACAGTATCAAAATGGACATGTAACTCTCTGATTTAAGCTTCAGGTTCTGAGCATCTGTGGGGCAGTATCAACTTGTTAAAAAGAGTTTCAACTCGAATAATACTAAGTAGCCTGCAGATTACTTCACCCAAACAGGAAAACTAAGGCTTAATGTTAAACTGTGTTTAAAAACTATGGACAGTTTGAAACACACTGAGGAAAACTGGTCCTTAATGTCACCTCAGTATCCAGAAAAACATTACCCAATCCTTAATCCTACCTGCTTCACATGCTATTACTTTGCAGATAGTAGTAAGACATACTCACTGTTCTTTCACAACTGCACAGGACATGGCATTCACTTCATTACTAGCTGTTGAATCTGCTACTCTCCCCATGTTTCTCAGCATACAGCTCAGGGTCTTATTTACTGCATCTTCTTCAAACAACATTTCTTATATCTTGTTCTGTACACATTACTGAATAGATAGTCACCAGGCACTTGGGTAGTTATTTTGAATAGAATAAGGTAGAAGAGGAGTAGTTCGGTTGGAAAGGACCTACAATGATCATCTAGTACAACTGCCCAACCACTTCAGACAGTACAAGGGCATATGAACTGTTCCATGATTTCCTATGTCAATTTTGCCCGGATCCCTTAGTGTAATAAAGTACTCGAAGGCTCAGGGCACCACCCTTTCACCTTCAGGGACAGCAATACAGATGGAGCATCTCTGCAGATCAGACCCAGGGATCTCAACCCAGGCACTCAAAAGTGAGATATAACTTATGAATAATCCACAACAAGCACTTCAGCTGAACTGTTTTACCCCACCTAGAGCACTCTGTAACAGAGAGAGGAACACAGCTCCCCAGGAGAGCATTCACTATCCCAAACTAGCAGTCAGTCCTCTCTCTCCCCCAGTTCCCTGACTCAGTCACTACATACTCTACATATCCTGCAACGCATTACCCTAGGTACTGTGGTCTTCTTCCCTAAGAAACCTAGCTTAGGGTAGACACTTTGTACACAATAACGTAATTAAAAATTACATGAGTTGTGGATCAAATTAAGGATTCGCAGATTTCCAAAACACTGGCTTTTATTGAGTCTATTGAGGGCTTGAATTTGCAACTTTAGAAGCAGTGCTATAGGTTACCGTTACTCATGGACAGCTTATAAACAGTCTGCAGCCCAGTAACCACACTGACATCCAAATGAATCTAGGTTGTCCTTTCATACCTACTTCACAGACTGTGGCCATCTGAGCTAGATCATACTACAAATAGTTTCTCTTCTTCTGTTTTCTTACCATTAGATGCAAATTGGCCCCTCCAACAATTATATATTTTACCTATTTCTGTTGATGTGTATTTCTTTGCAAGGCCCAAGACTGCTGTGTTCCAGGTAAGGCATTGGGACAAAGTATTTCCTTGAGACCATTTGTTAATCCCTTCCATCAAGCTTCACATTTCCTTCCCCTGTATCCCACTTTGTCACTAGCCCTTTCCCTTTTCTTCTTCTGCAAAGAAAACAGGACTGGTGCAGTGAGAGAGAAGCCCCACCATTTGTTTCTCAGACTTCTCTCCTCAGTCCTACCCAATCCTACTGCCTTCGCTCTCAGTTCCCTTTTGGCTTTCCTCCCCACAGCTTTGCATCTTGTGCATCTTCCTCACAAGCCGAGGCTCTCCATCCACACTGCTGAACAATTCTGGTCCATACCCTCCTCCACTCTGCCCTCCCCTGACAAGTCCACAGCTCCTCACGTCAGGAGCATCTCATCCCTCACTTCACCCCCACATCCAAACCCGCCAGAGCCTCCCCTGTCTCCTTGCCATCCTGTGGACTCTGTGAAATCCAGTCCTTGTATGAGGCCTTGTCTTATAACAGGACACGTGAGGCAACCATAACACTAGCCTGTGCTTCCACCAGCACATGAAGGACACATTGCCCTTGGCCATTATTTAAAACAAAAATATCCTTTCAGTTAAATTTATAGGGAAGTTGTATGGAGTTTAAAAGTAAGAGAATTGGGGTTTTACATACCTTTTATTAGTCTCACATAGGAAACACTGGCAATCTCACCCTCCATCCTCACAAACAACCACAATAGTGTACAACTCACAGATCCTAAGAGCAAGACTTAACCTGACTGAAAGCCTGGTCCCTACAAATTAAACCCAAAACTTACACTAGGATCTTGAAAACATGCTCTTCACTAATCATGAATAATGCTGTCCAGTATAAGATCAGCTGTTCTAAATATTTATTCTAAGAGTATCAGTGAGTCTCCATATACATAGTGCACAAACATAATACTGAATGCTTTTTCTCTTTTTCCTGTGAAATGTTGCATGTACCTCACAAGACACACTTTAAAAGTGTTTAAAAACTTTATTTTTTTAAAAAGAGGGGATTAAAAAAAAATAATGTCTGCATTAGAAAAAGAGCTGAACGGTCTTTTCCATCTCGGCTGTTTCCTGTAGCTCATTTAATGGTCAGGTAAGACAACAGCTTGTACTGCCAAAACCTTATCAATAAGAAATGATCAGTAAATATGAAATAGTTGTTTAGTAATTTTCAGAAATTACTGTAATAGGGCCCAACAACACTAACTAATCCAACTGATATTTTTCCAGTTAACACAGCCTTGAACCAAAAACTTTAACAAAATATATATGTTGCCTGTTATCATTACAGAACCCCTGACAAGCCAGAGCCTGCTCAGGGGCAGACCCTGCACCAAAAAAGCACTGCCTACACCAGAAGTTTAAATACACGATAGCTGACAAGCAGGAATTTTATTTGGGAGCAGCTGTACACCAGAGGAGAGCAAGGGGA